AAAAAAAAAAAAAAAAAAAAAAAAAAAAAAAAAAAAAAAAAAAGAGTACACATGAATTGAAACTGATACGACAAGAAAGAAACAAACTTTTTCTGAAGAACAGTCCCATAAATATGTGTGTTTTTTAAAGCTATTGATTAAGAAAAACAAGCAGTCGACACGCAGGGAGTCTAATGTTTTCATCTTACAAATAGTTGTCACCAGCTCTCCATCTATATCCATCCCATTCATCAACTAAAAAACAAACCATTTTTTCGTAAAGACTACGACTCTCTTCCTACCATGGTATAATATTATCCACTTTAAGTATAAACTTTCATGGTTTTGCTTTGAATTTTTGACCAAAATGTCTCGTAATAATGTAGATAGTATTCTTCACATATAAACTAATGATCTTCCCTCGAACAAAATACATCATTTGTTCGACACTTAAGTCACTTTTGACTACACCTTTGAGGCCAACAACTTTTTTGCTGGAGAATTCTATTGACATGTTTAAATTAAGAGCATGATTCTGATATCATGTTAGAAATGACTGTTGTCAACAATAGTATGATATTGTCCCGTTCGAATATAAACTCTCATAACTCTGTTGTGGGTTTCTCCAAAAGATTTCGTACTAATGAAGATGTATTCTTTAGATATAAACTCGTGATCATTCTCTAAATTACCGACTACTCGTGAATGGAATTATGCATGGGAATGAGTTATCAAAGATTTGAGCATCTTTCTCTCTCTCCCTCAGCTCTTTATATAAACCATGACCCGTCTGAGCATTTCTTGCACTCACTTTCAATAGCTTCCATTGATCAACTTTGAAGAGAGAGAGAAAAATGGCAGCCTTTTCATATCAATACCAACCGGTTCTTCTCGACTCCATGTTCTTCCCCAACAATTCCTACAAAATGGGAGGCTTTTTGGATGACCCAAATTTCAACACCAATTGCTTCTCTCAATTTCAAGAAGAACAACAACAACCCATTTACCATTTCCCCGACATCTCCAACCAAACCCCTGAATCTTCCACTTTGGTCGACAGATCCGACAGCGCCGACCCGCCGGCTGTCACTGTCACCGTCACTTCCCCTTGTAGTAAGAAAAGAAAGAGCCGGAATACTTCCTCCGCCACCTCCGCCCATTCCAAGGTCCAGAAAAGCCTCAATCTTTATGGTTTTTGGTTCTTTTTAATCCTTTTTTTGAGTGATTTGTAATTAATCTTTTTGGGGTTTTTCAGGGCACTACAGAGACCACCGCAAAGAAGCAGAAAAGTAAAGTGGAATTAGATGAACATAAAGAAGGAGATCCAAAGCCCAAAAATGGGAAGAAAGAGGAGAAAAAAGCTTCAGAAGAAGACGGTGCTGCAACCAAAGGCTACATTCACGTCAGAGCTCGAAGGGGCCAAGCTACTGACAGCCACAGTCTAGCGGAGAGGGTAAATAACATATGATCGTTATCTAAATTAGTCAACGTGTGACTCACTACTCATAATACTCAACAAATGAAAGACCCTACAAGCTAAAAACGACATGTCGTGTCATTTCAGGTGAGAAGAGAGAAGATTAGTGAAAGGATGAAGACATTGCAACGCCTTGTTCCTGGTTGCGACAAGGTAAGAGAAAAAAGGGTTGAATTTCCTTAATTTCTCTTCTGGTTTTTTTATTATTATTATTATTTTATATGTTTTGCTGACGTGGCCATCTGGGTTTTTGGGGATGAATAGGTTACAGGGAAGGCCCTGATGTTGGATGAAATTATAAATTATGTTCAGTCCCTACAAAATCAAGTTGAGGTAAACTAATTTCTTTAATCATTTTTTCACAATTAATTTCTCTCTCTCTCTCTCTCTCTCTTTTTTTTTTTTTTTTTTTTTTTTTTTTTTTTTTTTTTTTTTTTTTTTTTTTTTTTTTTTTTTT